CGTGGTGTCTAGTACTTCTCTCCGGAGGACGCGGCCACCCACAGTTTGGGCTGCCCCAAAACTGGGGGCCAGGAAGCCAGGACTACAGAGGGACAAAGGGGATGGCAGAGAGAAGAGGCCAGCTGGGGCCCTAGACAGAGAAAGGTGGGATGGCAAGGGCTTCATATTCCCACTGCTTGGAAAAGAGAAAGCCAAGCTCCAGGGGCCCAGCAGGAACGTCATTTGTCTCATTCACTGTACTCTCTAGAGCCCAGGACAGGACCTGAAACATGGCAAGTGATCAATCAACATGATCTTTTTTTTTTTTTTTTTTTTTTTTTTAACAAGAATAGCTTGGGGAGGTGGGGAAAGAGCATCAACAGGAGAAAAGGCACTGGGAATTCTATTTTAAAGAGAGGAGAGAGCAGTCCTAGAAAGAGAACAGGGACACGATTTGTCACCACCTAAAATGCTAGTCTGGGCCCAGGAGAGCTGCAGTTACACAGCCCCTCCATCCAGGATCGTGATGAGTAGTTCCTCGCAGGGCTCCCTGGAAACGTGGGTAGTAGATGAACAGACCTCCAAGCAGCTGCTGACATAATCATTGTGGGGGCACTCCCCTCACTGTCACGTGGCCTAAGCTTTCCTGAACAATGAGGGGAGGGTGAAGGGGAGGGCTCTGTAGAAAAGCTGGGACAAGAGTGTGTTATAAATTAACCCAGAAAAATCGAAACAGGAAAACAAAAAAGATTCAGGAACCTGGATTCTCAGTCTCCTCTCCCTGAAAATGATCCTCCCCACCCCAACTCATACTGTGGCCTTCGTCCTTGTCTCATTTGCAGACACCTCTTCCCTGGAAACATGTTTTTTCGGCCTCCTCAGTGATTTAGGTGTGATCTCCCCTGACCCAGGCAGTCCTTGCTCTCCCGCCTCCATCTGCCTGTCTTTTGCATAGACAAAAGGATCCAGCCCTCCAGCGGCCCTTGCTTGCTCCCAGAGCCCTTGTTGTCCTGCTTGTCCGTCCCCACAGTAACCAGGCCCTGCTGCCGTCAACGGAGGCGAGGGGGCGGGAGACAGCGGTGACGTCAAAGCGGAAGAAGGGGGCGGGGCGAGGCTGCCGGGGAATGTGGGGCAGGGAGGCTGGAGAGTCTGGAGAGGCAGCGGTTTTGGGAGGCGGCCAGCCCGAGAGGGCGGCGGCCAGCGCACTTGGGAACATCATGTTCTCTTGGCTGGTGGCCCAGGACATGCACCCAGCCTGGGCGCCTCCCCCAACCGAACGACAGCCGTCCTGTCCCAAAGCCAGAGATTCCTGGAGAGAGGATTAGGAGGAAGGGGGCCCCCTCCCCACACACCCCCTCCCGCCCCACGCCTGGCTCTCTTTTCAGGACTCCCGCCTACCCACCCTTCAGCTTGTTCCTGCAGCTCTGGCTTTTCCTCTCTCCCAAACTGTACACATCTGCTGGCGTGGTACCAAAGATCCAGGGCGAAGAAGTTGGAGACCCAGACTCTGGGAGGAAACCCGCACCTTTGCTCCCTTCCAGAGGCCCCCTTCAGAGTCTGAATCTCTTGTTATTATGGCAGCCGGGAGAGAGGGAGGCGGGGGAAAGGAGGAGAATGAGCCTAGGGTGAGAAAATCAAACTGGAACAGAGCAAGTGGCCCAGCCTGGGGCCTGGGGCCTGGATCCTGGGAGAGGGCCAGAAGGGAGGAATGAGGGAATTTGGACTGCTGCCTGAAGACGAGAAGAGCTAGGAAGAGAACTAGGGCTCCATCAAAACTTGCAGACAAACTTGAGAATGTGAGAATAGTTCCCAGCCACAGCATTCACATAACTCTCACCATGACCCAGGCGTTATGCTAAGCACTTTATCTTATTTCATCCTCACAACAACCCTGTGAGATAGGTATTATTATCCCCATTCCACGGGGGATAACTAAGGCACAGAAGTTACTAAATTTGTCCAGTGCCTCATAACATGGTCTCAAGCTCCTAACAAATGAAGCCCGGGGTTGAAATCTGAACTCTGATCATGGCTTGGCATTCTGGTATCTTACCCTTCAGGAACCTGTGAGGTGTTAACCAACCTGTAAGCTGCATGCCAGCACTGGCAAACCTGGCCTCTCAAATATCCATCCAATTCTAGGTTGGGTACCAGGAACACAGACTCCATCCAACCCCTTTCTCAGCCTTGGGCCTTATCTCAAGACACTGCACTCCCCACACACTTAACATCAGAGCCCGTTTTCCCAGGCTCACAAAGTGCTTCGGATCACCGTAGCAGCCGTCAGTCACCATGATTTCCTATAAAGCCCACTTCCTCTCTTTTCTACCTTACCTCAGGCCACTTTACCACACGCCTGGCCTGGTCGATTGTACAGACAGATACCAGAGCACTTAGTTGGTGCATCCCCACCTCCAGGGACTCAGGAAGACTTGCACAGCCAATGCACAAACCCTAACCCTATCGTTCCTCTCAGGACTCAGCAGTTGCTACGCCACGTCTATTCTTAAGGATGACTCTGAGGCCTAAACCCTTCCGTTTAACATGAGAAAGACACCCGGAGCCGTAATGCGACTGGCTCTGGGTCTCACAAATTATCACACCATCCTTTCTAAAATCAGCATGTCAACCCTTTGGTACCCTCCTACTTCCCCTACCAGGGCCTCCCTCCAGCCTCAGAACCTCTGCCTTTTTCAAGAGTTTAAGGCGACCACCCAAACAGCAGCCACTGAAACATCTTCCCCCAACTCTCAAGCGACCTGAGAGGGAGCTCCCTCAGGTCGCTGAGGGTTTCCGAGCCCTTCCCCCCGGGCAGTCAAGAGTCCAGGGACTCTAGAGGTGCGAGGGATCTGATGCCACAAATTCCCAACCCGTTTCTCTAGACCTGAGTCCGTGGTCCCTATTCTCCCCAACCATCAGAGCTCCCGCCGCGGCTACCACGTATTTGCATGATCCCCCACAACACACTCTATTTAACATCCTTCCCGACCGACCACACCACCTCGGAAAAGCCCACATAGATCGCCTCCATCTCTCCCCATCCTCGGGCACTCACCGCTCGATGCGCACGCAGACCCCAAATTTCTTCTAGGACTTCTAGCACTGCACGGGGCTCCTCCAGACCCGCCCAGCGGCCGGGCTGCCACGCCCCCCAAGCTTATTGGCTTAGGGGCGCCGACCCATGCCCCGCGCCGCGTGCAGCTGCCGGCCCCTGCACAGCCTCTATTGGTGCCTCAGGCTGCCGTCGTTTTCTCATTGGTCAGCAGGCCAACCATCGGGGGAGGGGGGAGATACACGTGCGAGAGGGACCGCCCCGACGCGGCGATTGGAAGCCTGACCGGAAGCCACGCCCTATGCACGTCCGAGATTTTTATTGGCTGAGGCAATAACCCCGACCTGCCAAGACTGATGACGTAAATGCCAGTCCCGCTCTCCAAGCTTTCTTATAGGCTAAGAGGTCTTGGAGCTGTAGGGTACACGTGCCGGCGGCCTCACGCGGCAACTTGTTTACCTAGAAGCTGGGGATTTTCCTTGACGACACACTTACCCACGGCTTCTAAATCTGCGCAGGCGCAGCGAGCGTGACCTGCACGCAGGCGCAGATGTGAGCGGTGGCCTCGCATAAGGCCCACTTCGCAGAGAGACCCGGGCGTGAGAAGGACGCCTACGGCCCTGAGGTCCCTGAGGCTCCCCGAAGCTGGAAGGTGCGAGCATTAAGGTGAAGCGGTCTTCAGATCTCAGCACGGCATATTGATGATGAAGATGAGAGCCTCTTCCTGACTGTTCTCTGCGGGCCGGGCCAGGCGCTTCTCAATCTCTGAGGAGGCCGCTCACGTACTCCCCCTGCCTCACAAATGAGACTGAGATCCAGGGATGTTACATAATCTGTTCGCCTCTAACACGCTGGTCAGTAACGGGGCTAAAACTTGAACCCAAGTCCCCGACACCGTAAAGCAGGCGGGTCCTAGGGTGCGTGGGAACTCTTAAATCTGGAAGGGATTTGAGTTGCAAGTGCGAAATCCTGAGCACTGCCTGGAATGTAGTAAGACTTCTATCAAGTTGGACGTTCTGGTAATGATGGTGTGCGTAAGAATCACCCGGACCCTAAGAACCTCTGCATCAGGATCTCCAGGGGAGGGCCCTGGAACAATTTTATTATTTAAGTCTTGCTCTGTTACCCAGGCTGGAGTGCGGTGTCGCGATCTCAGCTCACTGCAATCTCCACCGCCCGGGTTCAGGTAATTCACCTGCCGCAGCCTCCTGAGTGGCTTCCCGGCTAATTTTTGTATTTTTAGTAAGAGATAGGCTTTCACTATGCTGGCCAGGCTGGTCTTGAACTCCTGACCTCGTAATCTGCTCACCTAATAGTGCCGGGATTACAGGCGTGAGCCACCGCGCCTGGCCACTCACCGTTGAAGCTCCTGGGGACAGGGATGCTAAGTTCAATTTGGGGTCTAAAGTCACAGTCATAAAACAGAGTAGAGGGGTAATAGGTCATCTACAGGCAGCTCCACGACATCAGCTTTGTCTCTGCGAGCCAATTACTTAAACCAGTATTTACCAACCCCGTCTGGGCGCTGGCACTGGGTTAGGCACAGAGGGGAAGAGATGCTTCACAGAAGTGGCTAACTACTTCATCTACTGCCGCACGGGAGCGACTGCAGCGCATCCTGGAGTTAAATCCAGGAGTATAAAGGAGGCCAACAGCAGAAACCTGCCCCAGGAAAGGGAAAGGAAAGCTGGGAACCCCAAACCGTAGGGCTCACCGGGCTTAGAGACACAGGAGTTGGCTGTGACACTTCCCATTACCAACGCCTAGTGCCCCCCTGTGGCCACTTTGGGAATCACACTTTGCCCTGCCCAAGGTCAGGGCCTAAGTCCAGTCCTTTACCAATGCATCTTCTCCACCGTCCTGGCATACCTTCGGATCCCATATTCTTCCCATTGGTTAAGAAAAGATCTTACTCTCCCCCCACAAAAAAGATAGAGAAAACAATAAAGATCTTAGAACAGACAACACCTGGTTACTCATTACACATTTATTGTACATTTTCACAATCTGGATGCGCCACAGAATTGGGGGAATGGGGTGGGGGAAGAGGGGGGCAGGGGACACTGGGATAATATGGGGGGTCTAGAACACAGCACCCCCACCCCCAGCATCTCTCCTACCCTTTCACACCACAGCTTAGATATCCCTGCTACCCCTCCACACAAAAAATCTCGAGTGTGGGGGGAAGAGTGTTTGGGGGCCCCCCTCCCGTGGCAGGTTAAGGGACTGTACCCTCAGACCCTTAAAATTGTGCCATTTAAAAAGACAATAGACCCTTCCTCTATCACTTCACCCAATGAGAGGACAGCTCTCTCTGGGTTCAAATAGCCCTGGAGAGGGGCAAGGATCCTCATTTTCCAGCAAGTCCCATACACACATTGGCAGTGACTAGTACCCCCACCCTAAATTCAGGGCAGGGGCAGTCAGAGGAGCTGGGCAGTGACGGGGGCAACACCCCCCAAATTGGGAAGGAGGGTTTTCAGTCCAACCCCCAGCAGGGGTGAAGCCAGAGATTTCAGGCAGGAACTGGGGGGATTCTCTGCCCTGCCCCACTCCTCCCCAAGGCAGTGATGACCCCCCCCCCACACTGGTAGCCACCCCTCCCAAGAGATCAATTGTGGCCAACCCCCAACTCTCCTGCTGGGAGGAGGAGGTGGATCAGGCAGATGGGAGGGAGGGAAACCCCATGGGAATGTCAGTTGAGTGCCCCACATGAAAACTGGGGAGCAGGAATGTGGGGAAAGACCCCGAGTGGCAGAATTATTGGTCCATCATAACATACTGAACTCCAAGACACTCACACACCAGCTGGGGGAGGGAGAGGGGGGCACAAGAGGTTTGGAAAATGAGGGTAAGGGAGGCAAACTGGACTAGAGGGCTAGAAGGAGGCAATGCTGGGGGCCAGAGCAGCCTGATTCCCCAAAAGCCCAGGCTCCCACCACCTGCAAGTAATGTCGTGCAAATGAAAAGGTAATACAAGTACTAATGGGGACTAACTCCTCAGTAAAAATAAGAAACACAGATTAAGAGAGGAGTGATGGAACAAAAAGAAATGGAAAGAGACTGCAGTATGCAATGATACGCTAATTAACATGCTGGACGCTCCCAAAGACCTTGGGATTCTTAGGACCAAGTGGGGCCAGTCTCAGAGCCTCCTAATGGATGCAAAGAAGATGCACCTAAGGAAGCCCGGACAGGTGCTTTTCGTTTTTTTTTTTTTTTTGAGGGCGGAGCAGAGGGAGCAGGAAGAAGGGGAGAGGGAGGAGGAAAGGAAGGCCAGGGTGGGAGGAAGGATCAGCTAAATCCGAGGGAAGGAGGAGAGGAGAGGGACTATTGCATAGCAGATGCAAATGAAGGGACTTGGGGCTAGTCAGGAAGAAAGGGAAAGGAAAGGAAGGCAAGAGAGAGGAGGTGCAGGGAACCTCAGGGAGGGTGTTAAGGACAACCGGAAAAATCTTCTAGTAATAAAACTACAAACAGACCAAATATATATAATATTATATATGTATAAATAACAGCTGGCTATTTACAGGGGGACACACACACAGACACACACACACGGATCCAGGGGAGGGGGACTGAAAGATATGGCTGAGAGGTGAAGGAACGGCTGAGGGTGGGGGGAGAGGCCCTTCTCTAGGCAGGGCAGACTCCTCGGGGATTTAAGTGCTGAAGTAAACTGTGGAGAGAGAGGAAGAAGATAAGGAAGAGGGAGAGGGGAGGGAGAGAGAGAAAGAGAGAAAGAAAGAAAGCAATGTGTCAGGCCTGGCCCTGCTCCAATCCTCCCCACTCCCCAGCTGGTTGACACCCCTTCCCCTCTCTGGGCCTCAGTTTCTTCATCTACAAAGCAAGGGGCTAGACGAGTAGGTTCTGAGGTCCCTTCAACTCCACGGTATGGCTGTGAGGCCATAGATGCTAATCCTCTGAGCCTCTGAGACCACAAGCTTTCAAATCAACGGGGTGGTTGGCTTCCTGGTCATGTCTCAAGCCCCTGGGCCTTTCCTTTCTCCCACTCATCAGTTCCAGGTTCTTGGACTGGGCTCTTAGGCCTAAAGGGTCCTTAATGGATACATCAGCCCTTCCTTTTTCCAAATGTTAACAAAAACTGTCCAGAACCAGGCAAACTGCAAGCTAAATAACATCAAAAGTTTTTGACTCTAGACGAATCAGAATTGCCATTAGCAGCTATGTGTGGTTTGGCTGAAGAGTAAAACTAGGTTAATGACCTTTAAAACCCAGAATCCACTGGGGAACCTCTCCAGGAAAAGGGCCCCGGCCATTCCCACCCTACTCACCTATGATGATAATGAGGATGATGGCGCAAATCACTCCCAAGATGATCATCATCTGGGGGTGAGAGGGGAGGATCAGTGAGACAAATCATGATACTCCATT